AGAAGTTGGCTCTTTGGAAGAATTAACAAAATTGATAAACCACTAGCCAGTCTGATCAAAAAGAAAAAGGAAAGGACCCAAATAAATAAAATCAAGAATGAAACAGGAGAGATCACAACCAACACAGCACAAATAAAAACAATAATAAGAGAATATTATGAGCAATTATATGCCAATAAAATGGGCAATCTGGAAGAAATGGACAAATTCCTAGAAACATATACACTACCAAAACTAAAACAGGAAGAAATAGAAAATTTGAACAGACCCATAACCAGTAAGGAAATCAAATTCACAATCAAAAATCTTCCAAAAAACAAGAGTCCAGGGCCAGATGGCTTTCCAGGGGAATTCTACCAAACATTCAAGGAAGAGTTAACACCTATTCTCTTGAAGCTGTTCCAAAAAATAGAAAAGGAAGGGAAACTTCCAAACTCATTCTATGAAGCCAGCATTACGTTGATTCCAAAGCCAGACAGAGACTCCACGAAAAAGAACTATAGACCAATTTCCCTGATGAACATGGATGCAAAAATCCTCAACAAGATATTAGCCAACCGGATCCAAGAATACATTAAAAAAAATTATTCACCACGACCAAGTGGGGTTTACGCCTGGGACACAGGGCTGGTTCAATATCCGCAAAACAATTAATGTGATTCATCACATCAATAAAAGAAAGGACAAGAACCATATGATCCTCTCAATAGATGCAGATAAAGCATTTGACAAGATGTAGCATCCTTTCTTGATAAAAATCCTCAAGAAAGTAGGGATAGAAGGATCATACCTTGAGATCATAAAAGCCGTAGATGAATGACCCCACGCTAATATCATCCTCAATGGTGAAAAACTGAGCTTTCCCCCCAAGGTCAGGAAGAAGACAGAGATGTCCACTCTTGCCACTGTTATCCAACATAGTATTGGAAGTCTTAGCCTTTGCAATCAGACAACACAAAGAAATAAAAGGCATCCAAATTGGCCAGGAGGAAGTCAAACTTTCACTCTTCGCAGATGACATGATACTCTATATGGAAAACCCTAAAGATTCCACCAAAAAACTGCTTGAATTGATTCATGAATTCAGCAAAGTTGCAGGATATAAAATCAATGCACAGAGATCGGCTGCATTCCTATACACCAACAATGAAGCGACAAAAAGAGAAATCAAGTAATCGATCCCGTTTACAATTGCACCAAAAACCATAAAATACCTAGGGATAAATCTAACCAAAGAGGTGAAAAATCTATACACTGAAAACTATAGAAAGCTTATGGAAGAAATTGAAGAAGACGCAAAAAATGGAAAAAGATTCCATGCTCCTGGATAGGAAGAACAAATATTGTTAAAATGTCTATACTACCCTTAAAAAAAAGAAGATGGGGAGGTGCCTGGGTGGCTCAGTCAGTTAAGCATCCGGCTTCCGACTTCGGCTCAGGTCATGATCTCACAGCCAGTGAGTTCGGGTCCCGCACTGAATTCTGCACTGCCAGCTCAGAGCCTGGAGCCTGCTTCAGATTCTGTGTCTCCCTCTCTCTCTGCTCCTCCCCCACTCACGCTCCCTCTCTCTCTGTCTCAAAGATGAATAAATGTTAAAAAAAAATTTTTTTAAATGTTGATACTACCCAAAGCAATCTACATATTCAATGCAATCCCTATCAAAATAACACCAGCATTCTTCACAGAGCCAGAACAAATAATCCAAAAATTTGCATGGAACCAGAAAAAGCCCCAAATAGCCAAAGCAATCTTAAAAAAGAAAACCAAAGCAGGAGGCATCACAATCCCGGACTTTAAGCTATACTACAAAG